TATTATGTTACATCCCATCACGGAGCCGACTACATTGTGTTAGAGTGCGTCATGGGGTATTGCAGCCAAATTACTGAGAAGCCTGGCCTCGCTTAATTAAGACAAAGCCTAACTATCACACCAAGTGTAATGACAAACCTGGCCCCAAGCCTCCTCACTATATCTGCTTTATCTGTCCCAGTCATGTGGCGGGCATCACCAAGACTAGGCAGCAACTCAGTCACTTGGTCACAATTCCCCATCCCTGTCTCAACGCCTCGCTACCAGCTTCCGGACCAAGTTTCCATAGGAATTCTTCAAGCCTCTGCTTCTTCCCTCCATCCCCATCCCACCCCCACCCCCTTTCAGAACATGACAGGAAGGATTCTTTTCCTCATGCAGCATTTTACTCTCTCTTCAGGTAGTGACAGCTGCTTCCAAATTCGAGGCTTTTTTTTTTTTTAAGTACTTATTTATTTATTTTTTTAAATCATTTTATTATGGGCTCATACAACTTTTATCACAATCCATACATACATCCATTGTGTAAAGCGCATTTGTACATTCATTGCCCTCATCATTCTCAAAACATTTTCTCTCCACTTAAGCCCCCCGGCGTTAGGTCCTCATTTTTCCCCTCCCTCTCCACTCGCCCCTCCCTCATGAGCCCTTGATAGTTTATAAATTGGTATTTTTGTCATATCTTGCCCTGTCCGACGTCTCCCTTCACCCACTTTTCTGTTGTCCGTCCCCCAGGGAGGAGGTCACATATAGTTCCTTGTAATCGGTTCCCTCTTTCCTACCCACTCTCCCTCTACCCTCTCTGTTTTGCCACTCACACCACTGGTCCTGTAGGGCTCATCAAATTCGAGGCTTTTTAAATCACCTCTAGTTTCACCTTTCCCTCCTGGATCTCTATTGTATTAAGCACTTTTGGCGCTTGCTACAGATTTGGATGCGTTAAGTTACACTGGTTTTGCTGTGTCTGTTTCTTTAGCACGTATTCGGCTGTACCCTCAGTACCCCCGTCTCTCAGGAATAGCTTCGTTAGTAAACCTGAGTACCTAGGACCAGCTTCTAAAGTGAGTGGTTCATTAACTGGGGATTGGGAATGTTTGTTCAAGGGTGGGGAGACCTGACTCAGGTGCTTTATGACAGTGCCAAGAATTTGGCGACGATTCAGAGTGCAGAGTGATAAAATCATGCAGTTTGGGAAATGGACTTACTCTGCATTTCTAGACGAAGAAACTGAAGCAGAGAAGTGGAATTACTTGCTAGCTGGCGGTGGAGCAAGTTTCATAACATCCAGACAGGCGAGAAGCTAGGACTCGGAAAGTCACCGTCAGAACAGGACAAAGACCCTGGGGTTATTCAGTTAGAGGCTTTCAAGGGACGACAGGCAGGTCAGAGAAACAAAATGCTGCCCAGTACACCTACCCACTGCATTTTCTTCAAAGAAAGAGAAAAAAATAACTTCCTAAGAGGTTTGGTTATAAAATGTGGAAATAGAGGTGAACTTTTGTGACCTGTAATGGAAAACAGAAGATACTCAAATTTGTCTGATTATGGTATAATAGCGCCCCCTAGTTTTGAGCAGTGTCAATCTACATAATTATACATGGTAGTTTTTATTACTCATCTGTTTGTTACCTAGTAAACAAAATATATTAAGAATTTTTTTGCAGAAATTATACAACATAGTTTATCAGCTTTTATTACTCAAATATATATTTTTGAGATCAAAGTTTCATGGTGAAGTATGATAACTAAGGTGGTGTGTCGACTTGGTGAGCCCTTGATGCTCTGGTTTGGCAGTTGTGAAATATGCTATGAGCAGCCTTTCTGGTAGCAGTTTATCTACTCAGGAAGCTGTTAGCCAGAGTATAACTCAAGTCGTAGCGCCTAGAAGACACTTAAATTTTAACAGAGGGACTTGGGCATAGGGTATTATTTCCTGGAAGGGAGAACAAACAAGAAAAAGAAGATGGGAATGTGATGGGAGCTGTAGCAATCTTTCACTGTTAACATTGACTCAAAAGAGACAACCTGCCACCTTTCAAGGAGCAGTCTTGTGCTTACTTGACTTACACCACCATCAGGGCTCCTATAAAGAGGACTCAAACTCATTGCCATTGAGTGGATGCATCGAGTTGGCCTCTGGGACCAGGTGGAACTGCCCCTGTGAGTGTCCAGGACTGTAACTGTCTACAGGAGTAGAAAGTCCTGTCTTTGTCTCATGGAGGGGCTGGTGCTTTCTAACTGCTAGCCTAGCAGTTTGCATTAGAACAAGAAGCCAATATGCCACGCACAAGAGGTCCATAAAGATCACTAGTGAGCTCCGATTATCAAGTAATTCTGTTATAGCACTACTAGAGAACTAAGAATTTGGGACCAGGAGTGGACTGCTGCTCTAACATATCCCTAAAATGTGAGTATTTTAGAATTAAGTAATGAGTATAGACTAGAAGATTTTTTTTGAGACTAGAAGAATTTTAAGATGCCTGATAAAAAAACCTTACATAGTTGGGTACCTACTGAGCTACAAGGTCAGCAGTTCAAAACCACCAGCCACTCTGGAGGAAAAAGATGGTGCTATCTACTCCGTAAAAAGTTACAGTCTTAACAACGATGAGAAATACAACTTTCCTCTAGTTCCTAAATCTTTCCTCCCTGCTCCCACTACCATCAGTCGAATTCAACCTTGCAAGTCTGGCTAGACCAGAGGAGGTACACTGGTACAGATAGGAACTGAAAATACAGGGAATCCAGGACGGATGAGCCCTACAGGACCAGTGGTGTGAGTGGCGAAACAGGGAGGGTAAAGGGAGAATGGATAGGAAAGAGGGAACCGATTACAAGGAACTGTGTGTGACCTCCTCCCTGGGGGACAGACAACCGAAAAGTGGGTGAAGGGAGACGTCGGACAAGGCAAGCTATGACAAAATAATAATTTATAAACTATCAAGGGCTCATGAGGGAGGAGGGAGCGGGAAAGGAGTGGAAAAATGACCTAATGTCAGGGGTTTAAGTGGAGAGAAAATGTTTTGAGAATGATGTACAAATGCGCTTTACACAATTGATGTGTGTATGGATTGCGATAACAGTTGTATGAGCCCCTAATAAAATGTTAAAAAAAAAAAAGTTACAGTCTTGGAAGCGCAAGAGGAAGTTCGAGCCTCTCCTGTAGGCTTACTACGCGTCAGAATTGACTCAGTGGCTGCAAGTTCATCGAGTTTACAGCTCGTGGGCAAAGCAAGGCTCGTTTATAACCACTGCAAATATTGAAGAATTCCTAGCAGTGATTCCTGCTTTATGATTAGTGTGGTTGACGTGGAATTTTATACAGTAAGTTGGTTTTGAAGTCAACAATCCATGCACAGATGGGTCTGCAATCACGCAATGAGCTAACACTCTCCTCTTCCCTGGTGCTCCGCAGGGTCCCTGTTCCGTTTTCCCAGTTCCTGGGTCTCTTCCTGCCTCCTCATCTTTTGGTATTGGAGAGGATTAAAGCGCACATTCTCCCAGGGTCCTGCTTGTTTTATAGAGCCATCTATTAATTAGTTATATCTCAGTTAGAAGCTTGTCACAGGGTCTCAAGAATTCCTCCAGTCTCTTTCAGAACAGTAAATCTATGTTTTGGTTTTTAGTTTGTTTGTTTTTTCATTTAAATTTTGTTCTATTTTTCTGTTTTTTACCCATTCTAACCAGCACCTTCTATTCTGGTCCTAGTCAGATTGGCCACTAACGGTAGCTCGTTCTCGCGTCTCAGGGTAGAAGAGGCTGTGGGCCATCAGTCTTTTAGACGAATTACTTCCTTGAGTCATTAGTTTTGTTCATTCTCTTTTGTTCCAGGTGGGAAGAGACTAGCAGTTGTTTCTTAGATGGTTGCTCGCAAGCTTTTAAGATCCCAGACACTATTCACCAATCGAGGATGTATAAGATTGTATTTATGAAATATATTACGCCAATTGATCTAGATATCCCTCCCCAAAACTAAGTGGTCCTTAGCCTTCAAGACAAGTAGTTCACTTCCAATATCTAAATGATTTCTATAACCTTCCCCATGTGTGCTCTCTTTACATAGGCACATACATGCAGCATTTATACATTTAGATATTGAAATTTCCACAACAGTACAAGGTATACGTGAATGTGTTCCCATATGACTTCCCTCGCATATTTGGAATATGCATTTACTATGTATCTACTCATAAGTTACTGTTTATTGTTGTTGTATTTTATGTTTTATAACTTAAGCTGTGTTTTTGAGAGGTGCTGTCAGAGCTTGACAGTAACACAGTTGGTGCTGTGAAACAGAACGAAGCACTCACCCAGCGTTGTCCTGTTGGAGCCCAGTGTTGCAGCCACTGCGTCAGCCTGCCTCATCAGGGCGTTATTCTTTTTAACTGACCCTGCTTGGTCAGACAGGCTAGCCCTTTGCAGGGGCTGGTCTCTTTGATAATATAGCTGAACATCGCACTTACCGTAAACAAAAAGCCAAACCTGCCATCAAGTCAATTCTGATTCGTAGCATTCTGTAGAGGGTTTCCGAGGCTGTAAGTCTTCAAGGGAGCAGACAGCCTCATCTCGCTCCTACAGGGCAGCTCATGACTTTGAACTGCTGACTTTCAGTTAGCAGTTCAACCCTTCCCCAACAGTGCCACCAGGCTCCGTCAGTTCCTTACCGTAATTGTCTTTTCTTGCACACCTCGCAGTGCCATGCCTTGCCTTGCCTTGGTCACCTTGTGCTGGCTTCCTATGGGTTGTGTCTGGCCCATAATTAAGCCTTCCCCATAATTAACCCATGTGTACTCCCTTATTGGGAATGTTCTCTCCCTTCCCCTCTTATCCCTACTTACCATCAGTGTTTGTGAACCCATTCTTGACTTTTTATAATGCTGGTCTCATCAGGTGTGTCCTTTTGTGGTTGCCTTGTTATTTAACTTATTTTTCTACTTTGATCTCTGGAGCACTTTTTCAAAGGTGTCTCTTGAGTCACCAGAACCACTTTTCCCTCTCAGGCAGAAGGCCAGAAGTTGTACAAGGACCTGAAGAGCTTCCTTAGTGCCGTCAAAGGTGGGTAACCCTCTGCTGGACACGATGGTGATTTTAGACTAACTGGAAGACATTGAGGGAGCCTGGTCTAAGCTAATAATTAAAGTTTCCAAAACTGAAATGCAGTTCATTGTAGTGAGTCTCTGTTTTCTGTTTAGCAAAGGCTAAACGACTTATCTTGGATACTTACTATATGAGGGGCTTCAAAATATTTATGGGAAAACAAAAGTTTTCTATGCACTTTCGAAACACCCTCATACTGTAGAGAGAGCACTGAGGCAACTAATGGAGTTCAGAAAGCATTTACGCAGCTCTGAACAGTCTGGGGTGGAACCCAGTAAAGAAAAGACAGCCAGACTCAGGCTTTCTGTCCCTTGCCTGACCTTCACTCTTTGAAACTTTGGGGACCTATGAAGAGTGTTTTTGTTGGTTTGTTTTTTTTTTTCCTGCCCAACCCCATCCACCTTTCTTCATTGATATTCCAAACCTTCTGCATTTGTCCTTTTGAATTGAGACCCATTATTTGTTTGCACCCATTACAATTATACCAAGCTATTTGGAGGGGAAACCTGGTAAACCTGAGTTCTTTCTTTTCAGTGATGCATGAGAGTTCGAAGAAAGTGTCGGAAACCCTGCAGGAGCTCTACAGCAGCGAGTGGGACGGGCAGGAGGAGCTGAAGGCCATCGTAGGGGTAGGGAGGCTGGGCTGACCGCTCCCAGCCTACAGCTCGTCTCGTTCTGTGCTCAACTCCGGCCTCATGGCCTCCTCAGCTTGCTTCTCTCTCCCGCCAAAAGGGAAACAGGAGAGCCCTTTCCCATGGTTGGTTTGAACAGCCTCAGTCTCTGGCTGTAGGAGGACGCTGTCACTGTTAGGACAAAAACACATTCTCCATGTGGATCCCTGTGCTGTTTCACCTTCATCCCCTCTTTGAAACCGTAAGGGAATTCAGCCTGCAATTGTTTTTGAAAGCTACCCTTTTGCAATAATTTACTTCCTATTGTCCGAGCTCTGGAATGCGGGAATCCAATCAGACAGATGCCTGCCCCTGATCCCTGGTGTCTCACCTCCTCTAGAGGAGTTCTGTGGGGAAGGGCTACTTCTTTTCTCCCTCTCCCTCTTTCTGAACATCCAACTTGACATTCTAAAGAGTGTGCTCCAAAATGCAAGAATTTTTTTCCAGGGACATGTTGGCTATTTGTCTAAGGACTCGTCGATGTTGAGTCCTCCTCAGCCTGTGCTCTGACCCACAGAATAATGACCTCCTCTGGGAAGACTATGAAGAGAAGCTGGCTGACCAGGCTGTGAGGACCATGGAAAACTATGTGTCCCAGTTCAGTGAGATTAAGGTACTGCACGTACACAGGCAAGGCTGGGCTGTATGTGGCCCATACAGGTTACAAGACGTAGTAATGTTAACATGTTAACAAGTTAAATGCTACACGTAGAGCTTGAGCCCTGAGGTTAGGAATAAAGTTGGGGAGAAGGTTAGGAGAAGGTTAAGGTTGAGGATTAGACAAGCGATTAGGATCAAGGGTTAGAGGTGGTGTGGAGGTTATGTCTAAACTTGAATTTCAGACAGCTAGACATGGGCTGGTGTTTAATTAGGTCCAGATTAGGACATCCGTTTTAGCTCTGAGACACAGCCGAAGGGACCAGGGTGTTTATTTTGGAAGAAGAACTTTAAAGGAGCCATAATAGTTTTCTTCAATGCTTGAACGTCCGTTCGATGAGAAGAGAGCTGGACCTGTTTTCAGAAAGCAAAGTCTGCCTTCATTCATTCGGCTTACATTTATCAAACACCTACTCTCTAGGACACTCTCCGCGTTTAAAATTAATCAGAAAACATTGAGGGAGGTTGACTTAAGCATCTGTTAGTTAAAGTTTTCCACAGGGAAACGCAGTGCACTATCAGGCAGGGAGTCTGTTTTCGGTTCAAGTCAGAAAGCGCATCTGTTTCTCCTGGATACTCTAGGGACGTTGTGTGTATTGTATAGGAGGTCGAACCACATCGTCGCTAAGATCTTCTCAGACTTTGTGATTTACTTCTCCGTGGTAGACTTTGTAGTGTGGATGAGATTAGACAGATAGTAATTTGCTTTTTGTTTTCACTGCAGCTTAGAGCCTCCAAAGCACTTTAGAGTCAACATTTAATCTTTACAGTAACACCATAAAGGAAAGATGGGGCTTTAGGTCATAAGGTTAATAAATGGCAGAGTTGGGACGAAGACCCCTCCCTCCTAACTTTCAGTTCAGTGGAATTGTCAAAGCTATTTCTCCTGGTTCTGAATGGGTTCATAGGGAATATTAAATGTCAGCACAGGCGTCCACATGCTCCCTAGGAGCACAGAACCCATTAGAAAGTCCAATGTGATCAAAGGATGGAAGAACCTTGCCACCTGCTTTGGTGCTCTGTGACCCGTATCCTGACCCTGAACCCTCAAGATCATGCCGTCTCTTGTCATCACTGGGCTAGGAGAGAATCGCCAAGCGGGGCCGGAAACTTGTGGACTATGACAGTGCCCGTCACCACCTGGAGGCTGTGCAGAATGCCAAGAAGAAAGATGAGGCCAAGGCTGCCAAGGTAAAAAAAAAAAAATGCCTGCTGAGTCCTTCCTGCCCTCCCTCTCCCCACACATGTGGCAAGTGGCTGGGCCAACCTGGGCTTAGGGAATTGTAAACTCAGCATCCAGTTTCCTGAAGGAAATCCTGTTTCCTCCGGCCACGGTGATGCTCTGCGCTGATAACCAGGGGCTTGGGGTCAGGAAGGGAAGGCCTGGATCCAAGAAAGCCTATTGTGTGTGGCACCGAGTCCGCTCTGATTCACGGCAGCCCTGTGTGACACAGGAAAATCGCCCCTTAACATGCGGTGAGCCGTTACCCATTTCTTTTTCACTTGTGATTTGGGTGAAAACCTACAGAGGACATTGGTGTTGGACTCCGCAGTCCCCACACATTGTGTTTTGTCACACTGCTTGCCATCCCTACAACATAGCAGCTCTCTTCCCTTTCTCCTCCCTCCCACCCCCACCCCCGGTGTTTACCGTTTCCTTCATCTTTCTTTCCTGCCCCTTCCTGCCTTCTGAGCTTTTGATGGCCATGGTTGGTTGTATCTTCTCACCATACTTACTCCATCTCTACGCTGAGCAAATAATTAGGGAAGCTGGATAATATGAAAAAGAATGTGGCATCAGGCTTAGAGGAAGGCTTATTAACAACCCGCAGTATGCAGATGGCACAACTTTGCTTGCTGAAAGTGAGGAGGACTTTAAGCACTTACTGATGAAGATCAAAGATTGCAGCCTCCAGTATGGATTACAACTCAGTGTAAAGAAGACCGACATCTCCACACTAGATAGAGAAACTATTGAAGTTGTCAAGGATTTTGTCTAACTCCCCGGGGTTAACTCACCACATGGCTATTATTTGGCTGAAGGCTGAGCCATGGGCTGAGCTCTGTCCCAGGCTTGACGGCAACCGAGGGCCTTAGTCTCTGAGGTGCTGCCAGTCTCCATCAGACCAGTGAGCTGGCCCTTTTTCTCTTCTTCTTCTTTTTCGTCCACATTTTTCTCCCTCTCTGCCCAAGACCTCCGGGTGATCTCTTTCTGGCCAACAGCAGTGGGAGGCCGACACCAGCTAATTCTCCCGCTCTCAGGTTCCTCGAGGCTGGGCTCACAAGATCCCTCCATCCCTTGGACCGATTGTTTCCTTGTGTCTTGAATTTTCTTTGCTCTCCTTTGCTCTGTGCAGGGGGAGACCAATAGTTGCATCTTCGACAGTTACAAGCTTGTAAGTCTCCAGTTACGATTCACCAAAAAAGGGTACAGGACGCTGTCTTCCTGGACTGTAGTGTGCCATTTGGCCATGATGTCCCCAAGACTATGGTCCTGAACCCCGAGGCCGAACAACTCATTCCCCCAAAGTGTTTGGTTAGGTTAGGGTTAACTTTGCCCCCTGTGTGCTCTGCTGTAGCCATAGATAATAAATTTGCCGCACATATACATCCTTTATTTGAAATCCAGGCTAGATAGTTCCTTAGAGACAGTAATTGAATTAGTAATTTCTTAGCAGGGAAGGCTTGGGGGAAGTGGGGGGTTAATAGTGAGTACAAGAATGAACAAAATGTTCCAAAATTGATTGTAGTGATGAGTGCGTGGCGTTTTAATATGTTTAAACCATTGAATTGTAGGATATGTGAATTGTATGTCAATAAAACTGTTAAAAAAATGCTTAAGCCCATATGGAGAAATGTTCCCTCTTAAGCATATACAGGAATGAATTGCCAGGTCTTTTCTCATGCAGGGCAACTAATGTGTTCAAACCGCCAGCTTTGGGTTAGCAGCCAAGCGCTCAATCCCTGTACCACCCAGTGCCCTTCCAAGGAACGCTAGTCGCTGAGGAAACGGAAGACGAAGGAGGGTAGCCTCTGGCCTGGGGTCAGGACTGAGGGGGTTGTCTGGTCTCTTTCACCACCTAGGCAGAGGAAGAGTTCAATAAAGCCCAGCTCGTGTTTGAAGACCTGAACCAGGAACTGCTGGAGGAACTACCTATTCTTTACAACAGGTGAGGATAGGACTGGGCGAAGGGCTGAGCTCCCGGGCCACTGCAGGCCCAGGCCCCCCACTAGCCCAAGCATGGCACCGCCGAAAAGAGCCTCAGTCCGAAAACGAAATGTTCTCTCTGCCCTGCTACGAACTTGCTAGGTGGTAATAGCCGCGCTGCCAGGCCCCTGGACCGTGTTTCACATCCGCAGTACAAAGATAACCACTCGTGCCCTGCCCGCTTTTCCGGTATGGGGACAAGCCGCTTCTTGGACAGGAGCACTGTGGGCAAGTGGAGTGCCCTCGTCTCCCAGCCTACATGGCTCTGGTTTCGGTCTCGGGTGGGTATTCTAAACAAGCCTGGTTCATGAACGTTCTGATGTACAGCGAAGATAAAGATGCTCTCTGTGGGATGATAATTGGCATTCATGAAGGTATCTTTGTTTGCAGTAGCTAGAAATGTTCTTGGGTGCACTTAGCTAACCATGTTTCAGATACAACTTTCCAACATTGGAAGAGGAATCTGAACAGAAACTCGGTTTATATCATATCTGTCATTGTACAGATAATGCAGTTGGCGGCAGTGTGTGTGTTCTCATTTCCGGCCAGCCCACGTGTGAAGGAGCCTTTCTAATCACTGCACGGATTCCAAAATGTTAACTATGTGACTCTAATTTGAGTAGAATGTGAAATTTGATAGTTCTTTAAATGTGAGTCTCCTGAATGTAGCTACAGAATTCCACAGAAGCCCCAATATTTCAATAAAGAGGAAGAATAATTATTATAATAATTATTTGGTCTTATATAAATTCTTTAATGAGCTGCCATGTTTACTTCTGTATTAAATAACTTCATAAAAGTAGAGATCCCTTTACGTCAGTGTTAACCTGGACCGATAGTGTCTCCCATGTCTTCTCACGCCTGAGACGCGGGGGTCCTCCTAGCCTGGCCCTGGGAAAGCCAGGTCCCAGAGTGTCTGCGGAGCAGCGAGCCTTTCTCTGGGGCCCTTGGGAGTGGTTGGCTGTGGGACAAGCACCTAGCTTGCATTTCACACAAAGGCCTTGTTGGCCATCACTTACTCCCGTGTATCTTTGCTTTGCCTCCTGACAGTCGTATCGGCTGTTATGTGACCATCTTCCAAAACATCTCCAACCTGAGGGATGTGTTCTACAGAGAAATGAGCAAGGTGAGAAGCGTCTGTCCAGTTTAGACTCGTAGGTGGGATTTTTCCGTAAATAGGCAGGTAGCCCTGACACCCATGATATCATTAACCACCAGTTTGGACACTATGAGCCGTTCACTTTGACCTCACGGTGAAGTAATAGTACTTGACTGACAGCTAACTGTATTACAATAAGTGCACACGTCCATACACAGTATCAGAGAGCACGCTTCACCTCCATTGACTGAACTAAAGCATCCAGGCTCTAAGCTCAGCTTGAATACTGAGATTAGGCATCTGGAAGGAACGGCTGAAACGAGGAGCCAAGTTGTGCAATCTCCATCTCTTGATGGTGGGAGCAGGCAAGACAGTGTTTCACGCCAGCTCAGTTTCGTAGGTCTTGTCCGTCCTGGGCAGCCAGGTTGCCCTGGGACACCCAGACCCATAATTACATTCACACACCCAGACACGCATATCCCTCTCCACACAGGGGCCAAATTATGATTGGCCAGCCTGATGGCAAAATGCATTTTCATTGCCTAACTGACTAAATTCTCAGCACCTGAAGGAAATGTGAACCTTGACGCACACCTCAGTTTGGGACCCTGCCTTAAGAGAGCTGCTTGTCCGATGCAAGAGGCAGAACTTGGGACACAGACCCGGAGAAGGGTACCTGGCCAGGGCCCCCGCACACTAGTACTGGAGAGAGGACAGGAATGGCAGGTCCGAGTTGGAAAAGTGGGGAGGCTTAATTTAGGGACGCTGTCTGAAGGAAGAGAGAGGGATATGTGCCAGTCTCGGCTTTCCATCGGAGTAGCACCCCGTTTTTCTTGTTAACTCCAGCTGAACCACAGTCTCTACGAGGTGATGAGCAAACTGGAGAAGCAGCATTCCAACAAGGTCTTTGTGGTGAAGGGCCTGTCGAGGTGAGCAAATCCAGAGACTCGCGTTCCCTTCGGCTTCACCTGTCTTGTGTGTCTGCACGTTTCTCCATCCCAAATCCCGGCCTTCCTCTGCGTGCATGGGCAACATGTGGTCTGTGTCACACGCGACAGCAGGGCTGCTGCTTCTGCAACTGCTTTTGTCGTCTTCGTGTTACTCTTGAGGCCTGTCCGTGTCCCTACATGTACCCAGCGCTGATCTGTCTTGTCTGTAACCGATATGGGCACTATCGTATGTCTACCACAGTTTATTTGTCTCGCCTCCTGCTCGTGGGGGTTTGGTTGGTTTTCCACTCTTACAAATAGTGCTGCAGGGCCCAGATTTCACACTTCTCCTGGTGAGCGCTGTTAGGGGTGTCCCCCGGGGGTGTGTAGGGACTGGCCTGCGGAGTCAGAGGATGCGTCCGCACGGCGTCTTCAGCCACCCAAAGCCACCCTGTTCCTGGGGAGTCCCTTCTCCCTCGTGGCAGCCCCATGTGTTACAGAGCAGAGCTGCCCCACTGACTGATGTCAGCGATGCTCTTTTATGAAGTGGTATGCATTCAGCCGCTAACCTAAAGGTCAGCAGTTTGAAACCACTAGCTGCTCTATGGGAGAAAGACGGGGCTTTCTACTCCTGTAAGGAGTTAGTCTTAGAGACCCACAAGAACAGTTCTACTTGCCCTACAGAGTGGTTATGAGTCAGAATCCACTCGGCGGCGGCGAGTGGTGTTGTTTTTTTAATACTCTTAACAGAAGCAAATCACCAGGCCTTTCTTTCTTGGTACCCATGAGTAGCTTCAAACTGTCAACCTCCAGTTTTCCAGTGAAGCCAAAACTGTGCCCCCTAACCAATCGCCTTCCGTGGTGACTACTTGAAAGTCCAGCTCCTCAGCAGTGAGTCAGAGCCCCAACTGTCCCGCAGTCCTACGCCAGGCGATGTTGTCAGACCTCTTCCTTCTTCCAAGTTAGTGGGGATGAGCTGGAATTTTTTTTGTCATTGTTAATTCATGTCACCAGTTTCTAGTTAGCGCCGGCGTCTTTTCATGTTACGAATTCAAGGTCCTATGAGTTACTTGTTTATACTGGTCTCATGCGCGTGTGTTTCAATTGATTTGCACGAGTTCTTAGGATACTCGGGTGCAAATCCAAATACCTCTTCCCAGGCTGTTCTGGTTTGCCTTGGACCCTTGTTGTTGTTGTTGTTGTTGTTGTTGTATTGGTGATGGTTTTGTTTTCTGTGGTGTCTCTTGTCTTCATGCTTCAGTCCGACTTCAGCAACTCACTCACTCACCGGCCCCTCAGAATCTGACCACTTTCTCATTGGAAAGCTCTTGTTTAGGAAATTGGATTAAGTCCCTGCTAGGCACAAGCTGGCCTAATAGTGGGTTACGAGTTGGTCAGCTAACCGCAAGGTCAACAGTTTGAAACCACCAGCCGCTCCGTGGGAGAAAGATGCGGCTCTCTGCTCCTGTCAGCGTTACAGCCTTGAAAGTCCCAGGGCAGTTCTCCTCTGTCTTTGTCAGGTTGCTGCGAGTTTTTCCGGTAGCTCAGGGTCCAAAAATAGATGTCCTTCCCCTAAAGGGATTTCCAGAAAGTTGGAAGAATGGAAGATGGCCTCCGAAGACGAGGAACAATGTGAGCTTGGATAAACCAGGGCCCGATGAGACGAGCATACTTGAGAGGGCTAAGTAATCATAAGGTTCAGAGACAGGGAAGGCTTCAAGGAGGGGCGACACCAAGCTTGGACCTGAAGAAAGAATTGGCCTCACAGTTGATTGTACCACTCCTGTAACCATCAGGCCCAAAACCCACTAAACCTACCTCCACTGAGTCAATTCTGAGTCACAACAACCCTATAAGGCAGAGTAGAGCTGCCCTGTTGGGGTTCTCAGGCTACAAATCGTTCCAGAACAGATAAACCCAAAAAACCTACTACCATCAAGTGATCCTGCACAGGGTTTTGAAGGCTATCAGTCTTTACAGAAGCAGAAAGCTTCATCTTTCTCTCTCGGAGTGGCTAGTGGGTTTGAATCGCCAACCTTGGGATTAGCAGCTATACTTTTATATTAAAAGGGCCAGTGTAGCATTCTTCGATTAATTTCTTTTTTTTTTTTTTTTTGCCTCTACAAAAGCTCTATTTTGCCTTTCCCCGCATTGAAGCCAGAGTTCTGTCCATTCTGCCCAGCTTAACTACTCCTTACAGTGAACCCTCCCAGAAACCTATCGGGAAATTCAGCCTTTTTATCTTGCTGTGTCCTGAGCCCTGGGAGTACTGTTTAGTGTTAGACTGATAACTGCCAGGTTGACAGGTTCAAATCCACCAGCTGCTCATGAGAAAAGATGATGAGGCTGTCTGCTCCCATGAAGATTATAGTCCCAGAAACCTAGAGTAGAAATCACCCAGATGAGAAGATGGCGGCCTTCTCAGCGGCCTCACTCCCAGCAGGCTAATGTCCTAGCAAACTCAGGCCACCCTGTAGGACAGGGCAGATCAGCTCCCGGGGCTTCCCAGGCTGTCACTCTTCATGAGGAGTGACCTCTCTCTTCCTTCCTTCCATACAGCTTACCCCACAGTACACATTCCTATTTCTCCTTCCCATCCTGGCACTCAGAATTAGCCCTTAGTTACCTTTAGAGCAGTGTCTCCCAAAGTGGGTGATGCCCTCCCCCGGGGGCCTGGGCTGATCCAGGGGGCGCTGCAAAAGCAGATACCTACACTCCATCCTAAATTATGGGCTAGAGTACAACAGTTTAATAATGTAGAGGGGAGGGGGACTGAGATTGTTTTTCCCCCTGAAAATGAACCGTGGGCCAAATACGAGTGGGAACTTATGCTCTAGACTAAATATTTGGGGTTTTCTCAGTCAGTCGGTAGACGTACGTAAGAGAAATTCACTCTCCTAAAGGCGGCCATGGCAGCGCTCCACACGTAATTGCTACTCGATCAATGTCAGAACACGTCTGGAAGTCAGGAAGTTGAGCAGGCTCACCCTCTGCCGCGTAGTTGATTCCTACAAAACCCACCGCCATCCAGGGAATTCCGACTCACAGTGACCTTCTATGGCAGTGGTTCTCAACCTGTGGGTCGCGACCCTTTGGGGGGTGGAACGACTCTTTCACAGAAGTCCGATTCATAACAGTAGCAAACTGACAGTTATGAAGTAGCAACGAAAATGATGTTATGGTTGGGAGATCACAACATGAGCAACTGTATTAAAGGGTGGTGGCATGAGGAAGGTGGAGAACCGCTGCTCTCTGGGATTTCCCAGGTTTTGTAAATTTATGGGAGCAGACTCCCTCCTCTTTTTCTCATGGGGTGTCTGGTGGGTTTGAACCTCTGACCTGACGGTTAGTAATCCAGTTCATACTCAACACTGCCCCCAGGATGCCTTCCACAAAGAGCACATGCTTTGTTTTCTCTAGTACCTTTTCCTTTACATATTTTCACATGATCGAGGTCATGCTGTGACAAGACTTGGTAGCCTTCCCCCTTCGCTTTGTAACATAAGCATGATGGCATCCACACAGATATTTTCTAACGTCATTTGATTTGGCTTTATGACAAGTGGGCATCTCCGTTTCATTTTTGAATGTCTCGTCTCCTGATTCGGAAACCCCTTCCTTCCCTCTTTAGCAGCAGCCGGCGCTCTGTAGTCATCTCCTCCCCGGTGCGAACGTCTGCGACCTCCACTTCGGTCACCTCCCCGACCAGCCCCTCCACCTTTTCCTTGAAGAGCGAGGGGGAGTCCTTCTCGGCAGCCGAAGAAAAGCTGGCGGACCCAACCCCGGGAGCAGACAACTCGGAGATGGAAGAAGAGCCCTTACCAGATGAGGAAACGGAGGGGAGCGAGGCCGAAGCGAGCACCTCGGACGAAGAGGAGCCTCTGCCAGCCTGCAATGGCCCAGCCCCAGCCCAGGCCTCTCCGCCCATCGAGGGTGGCGAATCCCAGGAAGACGTCTTCTCCAGCTCCCCACCTCCATCGCCAGACAGAGAATTCCTGGCCCCAGCCGGGCAGCCTCCGCCGTCTCCTCCAGAAGTCGTCCTCCGAGCCCGCCCGGCAAGTGAAGGGGCTGAGCAGCCAAAGAAGAGAGCCTCCCTCTCGAGGACCTCGGCGCCCCCCAGCAGGCCGCCCCCACCCAGAGCCACTCCCAGCCCCAGGCTCTCCTCCGGCAACATGTCCTCCAGCTCGACTGCCCCTCCAGGGGGTTCACCCAGCAGCCCCAGGGCCTCCTTGGGGGCTGAGACCCCCAGTCCTCGGGCCTCTACCCAGGCATCTCCTGAGCCAGAGCCCCCCGAGAAGCCCAGACGAACTTCGGAGACCATGGCGAAGGGAGCCCCCGACAGCCTGGAAGCAGCAGAACTTCCCACTGCCTCGTCCACCTTGAGGGCCTCTCAGGTGAGCCTGCATCTCGTCTCAGTGGCATCCACAACCCTTTCACAGCGTCCCTGCGGGCCAGCTTTCCTCCACCCAGGGTGCCCTCAGTGGAAAGGACTTGATGTCGCTGTGTCATAGTCTCTCCAGGAATTCTGGTGACATCATGGGCAAGCGATTGGCTGGCCATCTGCTCCTGGAGCACGTGCCTGCTCCTGCAGGGCGGTGTTAGCCTCTCCTGTGGGGCTGTAGTTGAGACAGACCCAGCATACGGAACAGTACGTTTCAGAGAGGTTCACCCGAACCCCATCTCGGCCCCGGGGATGGCTTCACATTTTTATAGCAATAACTTTAGTGATCTCTTAGAGTAACTGGCTTCTTCAGAAGGCTTATTTTTATTAGTATGCTGTTGTTATTGTTATTATAAGCTTCTTACTAATTAATTTCTTGAACCTCAACTTCTGGGCATTTCCAATAGAAAGAACTAACCACGGGCGTGCTCCTAAGCTTTCCCGACTGATGGAGCGGGCTGGGGGTGCTGTCGCCCTGTTTGTCCTGCCGCGGCTGTGGGACACAGAGCCCGGAGAACTGGAACCATCAGATTTCCCACTGTGCCTCTTGGATGAGAAAGGTCTAGAGGCAGGAACTGAGAGAGGCAGGGCAAGCTATCTGGCGTGTGGATGCGAAAAGGGTCAGGTTAAACTAGAGATACCCACGCACTGGAGAGCAGCCAGCTGGGGAAAGATGTAGACATCAAGTCCGATTCAAATGACAGGAAGGGGCTCCCTGTGGGATTCCAGAGGGCCGGACGAGGCCCCAGTGGTAAAAGCTAGAGGGGCAGGGGGGACAGGGCACATTTTGGATTGGTTCAACCATTAGCTCAAAAACTAGAGGGCCACCTTAGGACAAAGTTCTCCTTCCTTGATGTTCAGAGCTACGGCTGCTTGACCACAGTCGGGTATGCCGTTGGTAACGTCGAAGGGATTATGGTGAGACATCTGACTAGAAGCGCCAGGATTCATTCATTCCTTCTACCATGACTTACTGAGTCTCCGCGATGGGTCGGCTACTTTCCTAGACAGTAGGGATATGAACCTGAAAAAAACCAAACTCCCTGCCTGCCTTCACAATCTAATGGAGGACTCTGAACGGAACCCGAGTACAGAAGATCACAATTGAGTAGTGATGGAGATGAGAAAAGTTAGGTTGGGGAGGGCTCAGGGAGCGGCTTGCCATTTTAAACAGGGCAGTCAGTGAAGGTGACATTGGGGCAATGAAGGAGGCCAAGGAGAAAGTTAAAAGAAAGGTGCGAGATTTCCAGTCCGTCAAATCACACCCCGACTACGCCCTGAACCTGATGGAGATTGCCCAGGCAACCTTGGGAGCCTCCTGCTAACGGAGAGGAGATTAACAGGAACGGTGTGCAGCTTCTGGACTTGAGCCTCCACTCTCCATTTTGACCCACAGGGTATTCCGGAGCCTGGTGAGCCAGGGAAGATAGAGGACAAAGACGCGAACAGCGAGCTCCCCTCAGCTGGCTCCCCTGAGGTACTAAGATGCAAGTCCCTAACATGACTGAGCCTGAAGCCTGGATTCATTCACCTGGGACACTGAGGGCCCTAACGGAGCAAGAGATATTGCTCCTTGGCTGGTTTCTGGTCTGCAGCTGGTAGTCTGAGGGAGATAGCCGGGCGTGTGAACAAGGTGCAGAAACACAGAGCCAATGCAGACATTTGAGTAGGTGAAATGTAGCCACTTATGAATTTTCTGCACTAAGAAGGTAAAGCCAAAGGTATGGGTAGTACCCAATTAGTCTGAGTGTGACGATGTAATGACTGTTGCATGGAGCCGGCAATCAGTTGCCGCTGGTTGACTCCTGCGGGTGTTGTGATATTTGCTCTGGTACCTGGAGTAATTCAAAAGAAGGGGCAGGGGGGCCAACCTACTGTCTGCCCTTCGTGGGGAACAGTCTAGTGATGCTGCCCACCCTGGAAAAAAGGTACAGGGCACAACCCCCTACCAGCTTACACCATCTCCTTGGATTTGAGATTTATAACATCTCCCCAATCCCAGCCTTTCTGATGCGGTTGCTTTGGTCATCAGCTACAAAGACATTTGCCCCTGCTGTGTCATTCAGCAACTCAATAGAGCGTTCTAGACCTTAGCCCATCCACCGTGGGACCCATGCTCCAAAGCCTCTGTCCTACAAATATGCAAGATGCAGATGCCTTGGAAACCGTGCGTCTCTCCAAATTATAGATGCTTCCATATAAAACTGGATAAATATTAACTAGAAAAAGAATCTGTTCTTGCTTAGCATTTGAATCACTTGAGAGAGAATGAAGGTTTTGATTACATTTGTGGGAGGAGCTCTTATTACCTTCGAGCAATTCAAAAGGTGGAGAAGGGAGGGAGAAGGGTAGGAAAAATACCAGAAAGTACAAGCCGAGGCTCCTGTACAGAGGCGCGGGCTTGGACCCCCAAGGGGCAGTGACCCCTGCCCTACAGGGCGCTGTGTCCTCGTCACCCCGATGGTACTGAATTTGCTTCTGGAGTCTGCGTCACACTGTTAGAAACCGGTTCTGCTCTGCAGTGACGAATTTTGTAACATGGATTCTCTGTCTTTTTAAGTTTAATTGGTTCTAAACCTTAGAATACCAAGGTTCCCCACCCCCGGCATAGCAGTGCCCAGACAGGCTTTCCACACCTTGGGCTCCTCTCCAAACCTAGGCCTCTCCCCCCAGAAACACTGCCTGTCAAGTGTGAGGGCTGCGGTGCGTTCTTGAGGCAGGTGAGTCTAAAAGTGGTAGGCAGTGGTTTTAGACCCGTATTTATGCCCTCACCCACTCCCGCATGGAGATACATACAGAACTGGCACACCAGTAGTCACGTGGTGTCTGAACTCCTCGTGGAAATGACTCTGGAGTCCTAAGACCTGGTTTCCTGCCCAGCAAGCCTGGGGCTCTTCATTTGCAAATAGGGGTGACGTGACCTTCCCCTGATGCCTTCAGATACTAATGAAAGCAGCATTGTGTGTGTGCTCTTTGTAGTGTACAAGGGGCTGCCAGCAGTCCATGGCCGTTTCCTCAGGCTGTGACGCCCCCTTGTAAGCTGTGAGGCAGAGAACCCTTCATAAGCAGAGAGAGAGAGAGAGAGACTGTGCTGCCTCTCACAGGACCCTTCCTTTCGCAGGGCCACGGTCTTCCATGTCAAGACTCTGCGGTTGCCGGGGAGGGCGGCACCCCAGCAGCTGAGCCTCAAGGAGAGGTAAGGGAACCAGTGGGGGGGGGGGGGGCTGGCAAGATTGAGACTCCTCAAAAAAGAAATGGTGAATAGCTGCAGCAGCGCCCTCACAATAATCCCACCACCCGGTTTCACACCCCTCCCTCGCAGGAGGCCAGTGGCATTACCTGACATATCATTTGGTTAGAAGCAAATGAAAGTTTAAGGCCGTGTGTGATTGGTAGGAGCCGTGGTGGCATAGTGGGTTACACTTTGGACTCCTGACAGCAAGGCCAGGAGGAAGATAAGACTTTCTAAGCTCAGGAACCCACAGGGCAGTTCTACCCTGTCCTCTAGGCTATGAGTCAGCCTTGGCCCGAGGGCAGTGAGCATTTGGGTTTTGTGTGCTTGGTGGGCGGTCAGGTCAGCATCTCATACAACCATGTTTGTTTTGCAGGCATCCCCAAGTGAAACGCAACTCTGAAGAGAAATTGCCAAGACACGCCTCACCCCACCCCAGCTCCCCAGAGAAGCTTCCCAGCAGGCCTTTGGGGTCAGGGTGGTCAGGGGACGTGAGACCTAAGCTCACAGAGTCTGCATACTGGTGGAGGTCTCTGAAGACCTAGTATTAATAGAGGCCGAAGAACAGCTGTGGGAGGGAGGGAAGGAAGCAGGCTTGGGAGAATAGAGTGTTACACTCAGGGATATTTAATTCAGCTCTTACATTTGCTTGAATAGTAAAACTTTATGGACACATATTAATTAAAATGGGGCTATAATGATTATTTGAAAAAAAAGCATCTAAACATACTTGTCCACACGGAGACATGTAACCACACAGACTCAGAGGAGGGTGAACAAGCCTTTGATTTACCACTCGTTTTGCAAGACTTCAAACTAAAACAAACAGAACCAGATTGATAAATAAAGTATGATTCTGACTCTGGAGTCTCAGTGAGTGCGCTGGGGTGGGGGTTGCTCCAGCCGGCATGCTGTTTTCTACTGAGGCCTGGTTATCAGTTCTCCCCCAGCTTCAGAAAGATTCAGTTCCGTCTCTGAGCCTTTGCTCAGCCTCCCTCCTGGCCCTAACTCTAGGGGGCCCCTAACTCCCACAAGTTGCCCCTCTCAGTCTAGATGCCTTACTGCATGGCCCTCCGCCCACTAACCTGGAAGGGGTGATAGTTTAGAGCGCTATCTAGCTATCTGATGTTTGGAACCTGATCCTAGGGATGGAAAAGATGAAGAAATGAAGTGCCAAGGAAACGGACAGGGTAAGAGGATGCAACAGTGAGGACGGCGTGAAATTTGGAGTCAAAAGTACTGGATTCAAGTCCTGTCTATCTGTTTACTCTGCATCTCTGCTCAACTTTCTGGGGGTAACAAGTGAAGATGGCAACCTCCACCCATTCAGCCAGTCAGCATTTCTGGAGCTCCTGCTCGGCCACCCACTGTCCTAGGTACTAGAGGCGCAAAGATTGGGACAGGGATAGATATGGTCTCTCAAGACAGGATGGGGAGCAGCGAGCAGATGCGGCCGGATTTATCGGTGGGTTCGAAGAGACCCATGATGAAGACTGGGGTTTTACAAAGTTCTAAGCCAAGTTTATAAGACCAGAGTATGTTGGCCCCATTCCCTGACATGGAATTATCCAAGACTCCCCATGATCTGCTTGCAATGCCCCTCCCACATTCATTTGGCAAAACCTGGTTCAAACCTTTCATCTGTTGAGTTTCCCCTGCCTGCACCGCAGCTCCCACAGGAAACTCGTCCTCTTTGGCAATGCCAAAGAAGACTTCTTAGAATTTCCAGTGGCAGACTTAGGCACCTAAGATGGGATCACATTAGAAGATCCTGGATAAAGTGTGTAAGGGGTGTGTGTGTATAACAAACCCTGGATAAAGTGTGTAAGGGGTGTGTGGGTGTGTGTGTAACAAACCCTGGATAAAGTGTGTAAGGTGTGTGTGGGTGTGTGTGTAACAAACCCTGGATAAAGTGTATATGGGGTGTGTGTGTGGGTGTGTGTAACAATCCCCAAATCATAAAGGTCAAGCTTACTAGTCAGATCATTGGTTTCCCCCCCCCAAAAAAATTGTGGCTTATAGTCACCCTGTAGGTCTGGAAATGAACTCACCCCTGGAGCTCAATTTTGAGCCAAACCATAGCCAGGCCTGCAAGTTGAAAACAATATTAGGGAGGTCTAATACACACCTTAGAGTAATCAGCCTTTGAAGTCAATGGGGAGCATTAGCCCACGGATAGAGTTCAAAAGGGCTGGGAAAGAAAGAGGAGCGGAAACAGGAAACAGGAAGTGGGATAAGTGATGTTACAGTGTGGAGATTGTAATCAAGGACATGAAACAAAATGTGTATGAATTGCTGAATGGAAAACATCTGCTCAGTAAACCACCCAATTCACAATTAAAAGTTTTTTTTTTTAAAAAGTGCTGCCGCCGGTGCACAGCTGACGTGGGAAAGTGCACTAAAATGTGACACTTCATCATCTGCACACGACCTGCTGGAGGCCCCACGGAGCAGGGGGAAGGCCTGTCCATGGCCTGCATGAGTACGTTGTTGATCTAGGGTGGACAGTCCCATCTGGGAATCAAATTGTTTATCCTGATTTACAAAACAGTCAAATTGTCTAGAGAGAAGGCTGGGGCTTAGAAGACTACTATTCTGGCAGTAGCCGAAAATTGGGCCGAAAGCCAGTACAATTGGGTGGAGATGGACATCTCCTGTCCTCTGCCCTGTGGTCCCTGTGGGCCTGGTGACAACAGGACGGCTGCTCCAGTTTCTGGGGTTTAGACACTGGTAGCTCACCACCCCGTGAGGCGACCTTCATTAGCTAGTCCTCTCTATGTAGAATTCATGGCAAGAACCTTATCCGGTCCCTGTATTCCGGCAATCTGAAGGACAATATTGACAGACTGGGTAAGACATTCAGAAAACAGCAGAAACCTGATAATCCAGAGTAAACAGGATGCACCAAAGCGCACAACGCAGGCCCTGCCTCTCAATACCCCACCGTGGGTTGGCGTGTTAGCGGGGCGCCAAGCAGGCGTGCACATTAGAGCCTCGTTTTCTGCATGCTTCCACTTTGAAAATGCGGTCTGCACCGACAGGAGGGGGAAATCCCGTGTCAACAAACCTTTTACATTTTAAAGAAATGAATGCTTATGAAAAATGATTAACCACCCTCAGATTACAAGTAGTCCAGCAACTCCACGGCAGTTAGGCCAGATGTCCTCGGAGAGCATGTGGTTCAAACAACCTTTAACTCCTAATGGAACATGTGACGGGAGAGACAGACTCAGATCAAAGAAAGCTCACCACCTGCCCTGGAATGCATGGCCGGGTTAGCGACAGAATGAGCGAGTGGATGAATTAGTCTACTCAGAATTGATTTAACTCCTAGGGCTGGCACAGAGAATAAGGAATTCCAGTCCTAGGAGCTAAATTCTAAGAGTAGATCATTAGATACTGTCTCCTCTGAGGAGGAGCCAGGCTGACCGATCTTCTGTTAACTTCGGTTTATCTTACAGACACGTGCTCTCTTGACATGGCTTGGTTAGACTTTTTCCCACATACGCTGAGATCGCCATGCCTTTAGAATACAATTTCAATGAATTGTATTTAATTGAGAGTGTATGTATGTATGTATGTATGTGTGTGTGTGTGTGTGTGTTCCCCTCCTGGTTCTTAGCAACTGAATAACATCTATTCTGGCTTGATTATCCTGGTTCTTAGCAACTGAATAACATCTATTCTGGCTTGGTTAGCTTATGGCTCTGTTTCGGTTTGTTTGGGCTCCCGCCTCCTTGTTCTATGCTTGTGCTCTGAGAGACCTCTTTCACTCTGTTCCTCAGAAGAAGCTGTATAGTCTGATACTTAACGCCTGGCATCAATATTGATTCCCAGACCCACGTAATCCCAGACATTATTAGGTCTGGGAATCAACCTAGACACCAGTAGTTTATTAGGCTTTGTGCTCCCAGGAACAAGAGGTAAACACTCACTGGGAGGGAAGGCAGGAGAAGGCAACTCCCAGGAGTTGCATGGCTAGCTGGGGAGTCATGGGTTGAATAAGAGTCTCATGCTTTAGAGAACTTTTACTCATTCCTTTCCCCAGTAACTGTCTCAGTTACCGAGTCTTCTGTAACAGAAATGCCACAAACGAATGGCTTTAGCATAGAGAAATGTATCCTCTCACTGCCTAGGCGGCTAGAAACTCAAAGACAGGGCAGCAGCTCTGGGCGAAGACTTTCTCACTGTGATGCTCTCGGAAAAAGTGCTGGTCTCCTTTCAACAGCTATGTGCCCAGCACGCCTTGGAGAGCTCCATGTGTCCTGGCGTCCATCTCCCACTGGGTCTCAGAACGTCTCGACACAGGGATCGCAGGTCCAAAGGACTGGCTCTGTCCTCTGCTCTTTCTAGGTGGTTCCTTCTCACCTCTCATTTCTTGTAAGATAAAAGGTGACGGGGACACAATGTCAACTGCCATGACACAGTTCACAAGTCCATGGTCTCCATCCCCATTTGGTGAGTAGAAGCTGGGTCTTCGCCTCTTTGGAGCAGCCATCCACGGGGCGCTTTTGGTCTTTCCCCATCCAGAAGAGTGATGAAAACTGAAAAACGCGTGGAAACCACTCAGTTCAATGGATTAATGGACCACGCAAACATCAGTCACCCCCGCCCTGAGACCAGAAGAATTAGATGGTGTTCAGTGACCCCTATCAACTGCTCTGAAAAGGATGACATTAGAAGGTCCTGGTTAGAGGGAGACAAAAAAATATGGAATAAAACTCAAAATCATAAATGAGGCCAGGCTTACTGGTCATATAAAGACTGATGGAAACCCCAGGACTGAACTCGCCTCTGAGCTAGAATAATCAACCATTGAAGATCAAAAGAGCAGCACTCACCCAAGGACAAAGGTCAGAGGGTTAGGAGAGGAGGAAGAATGGCAACAAGCACAGGGCGGGAGGGACATAAGCCACGGCACTTTGAAAGGACTGCAATAAACGAGTTGAATTAGAATGTGTACGGATTGTTGGATGTAAAACTAGGATCTGTTCTGTAAACCTTCACCTAATTCACAATAAGAAGTTCTAGAAAGATAAAATACAGTGGTGATCCACGTCACACTCCTGGGAAACATCCCTTACTTCAGCTCAGAGCTGTGATCTGAATCAAGGTGTTGCATCCCACCTTAGTCCCCTGACAATTGATTGGCTGATCCTATCAGACCACCTTTATAGGGGATGATTGAGTACCTATATGTGGCAGTTACATAATCTCCTGTCAACTTGTGAAGGAGTGGAGTCCAGCCTGTCAATCAGGTCACAGCTGATGACCGCATTTGGAGGCACAACAGAGATAAATAGCTCACTGGAGGCCAGACTCACTCGCTGCCAGTCATTCCTGTTGACAAGCCACATGCAACTATGCTGATGGAGCCAGAGCCTTGGATCTGAAGGAGCCACATGGAGACCCACGCAAGCACTAAGATGCTTACACTGCCACTAGATCCACAAGACTTTCCACCCACTGGCCTGTGATCTTCCTGTATTCAGCATCATTGCATATGTTGTGTGAGTCTGAAGAGGAATTTATAGACTGATATTGACATATGGGCTAATATCACACTTATAGTCTTGATCTGGACAGGGCTGGGATGTTTTCTCAATATATTGCTCTTTTGTCTAAAACTCTTTCTTGTACATATGAGTGTCTCTGGATTTGTTTCTCTAGTCAAACCTAACACACTATATAAATCCCAAATTGTGTCATTTCACAACTTCGAAAACACATAAGAATCATTGCTCAAACAAACTGACAACATATTTTGAGGGGACACAATTCAATCCATGCCATTCTACCCTTTGTGCCCCAAATCCATGTCCTTGCCACATGTGAAACACGTTTATCCCATCATAAAAAC